GAAACTTAGCTCGCCTGCATCTGAATGCAGACGCTGCATTTGAGCGGCGAAGACGTACGTGTGTGCTGACATGTGCTCAATACAAAGCAGGCAGTGTGAGGCCCATCAATACTGAGGCGTTCACAATGTGACCGGACTGGTTGGAGCAGAGAGCAAACAACACCCACTGTTCTCTTGTGCAACAGTGTCACAACCAGAGCAATAAAAGACACACAGAGACACTTCTCTGCTCAGGGTCAAAGGTCAGGACTGTTTAACTGTACTGGAAGAATCTGGGCCGAGCAGCAGAGCAGCGGAGGGTGTGAAACAGACCACTGATCTATATCAGCTCTGGTTTAACACAAATCAAACTGTGATCAGTCGACAAACATCCACAATCCATCAAATATGTTTTTCTATCTGACTGTTAATGTGAATAATCTTTAAATAAACTGCTGTTTACTTTAATCACAGATTATCATTATACTGTACTGTAAACATTAATCCTACATGCTGTTTACATATAAACATACACACATGCAAACACTGTGCAGAAGCACCAGGTCCATGTTGATACACTCAGTTTAAAAAGAACACTTGAATTGTATTCAGACAATTTATTTTATTTCATCTATCTTATTCTTTTACTTACTCATTAATCTGTCTTTGAGTAACAGATAAATTATTTCTATAGAATTTTAAAAAAAAAATCTATATTTTTCTATTTCTATTTAAATAACATAATAAATGTGTGAAGTGTGAATGTGTCTGTGACTCACTGATCTTTGTTGCAGATTAATCATTTATTCATCAACTCATCTGATTATGGACGAACTATTCCTGTAACTTTTGTTTCTTGTTTGATTCAAATTACATCTTTAAATCCTGCAGAGCATCTTTACAGCAGCCATTTGAATGTGTTTTTCATTTTATTTTTAAACCCCATTTAAAATCATTTTAAATAATCTTATATCTGCACTTTAGCTATTTTTAATGGTGATTTTTTAAATTGTAAATAATTTAGTCATTAATTTGACCTTTTATACATTTTTTCTTTTTAGCCTTTGATTGTAAATCTGTGTGCTTTAATATGTTTTATATTTTATTGCTCTGTAAAGCTCTTTGACTTACCCTGCTGTATGACATGTGTATGACATGTGTATGACATGTGCTGTACACATAAAGCTGCCCTGCCTATATCCTACACAGATACATCTCAGCTGGCTCTTTTTCTCTTTGTGCACATTATCATTCATTATTATTTCTGTATCATTTGTTAGTTGATGTTAGGACATTATTATTATACTGATATTATGGGGTGTGCACTGATATTATGGGGTGTGCACTGATATTATGGGGTGTGCACGGCAGGTGGTGTCTGTGTGTGTGCTGCTCGTTAATCTGTATTAGCGTCAGAGAAGCGCACTCCAAGTTGTCTGAGTGCTCAGCAGCATGCTAACAGTGCTTCCGGTTATAATCACCCACAGTCTGCAGATCAATAATCAATACTCATCACTGTGACGGTGCAGAGGGTTGATTTAGCTCCTGGTATCAATGCTGTGATGTTATATCCTCAGCTCACAGACACACACACACACACACAAACACACACACACACACACACACACACACACACACACACACAGAGCAGCAGCAGCGTTAGCACGCGGACGGAGGCTACATACCCCGCTGTCATAACAACGTTGTAGATGACGAGGTAGGCCGTGGCCAGGGCGCCGGGGCCCTTCTTCTTCTTGGCGGCCACATCACCGTGAGCCGCCTTGCTGGTCCCCGGAGCAGCTGCCGACATGACTACAACCCTCTGCGGTCTCTGGTCCTGGACGACGGCGGCTGACGGTTCACCGAGTCAGGAAACCAACACACCAACCAACGGGAGCCGGACGGTCACCTGCTGCGTACTTCCGGCTTCGCTTTTACGCGCGCTCACTCAAATATCACCTCAGAAACCGGACATTCAACATGTGACGTAGTTATTACGTCAAGACTTTTATTTAGACTATTTATTCTGACGTGAATTAAATCTGTGTGATCTTTCTCTTGGGTGGTGTTGTCGGTGTACAATAGAACATGAACTATCTTGAGCTTCCGTCGGACTCTTTGTCACTTCCTGTGTTTGTATGAGTCGCTCTTTGAGAGGCGCGCCCCCTGCTGGACGCCACAGGCTACACACATGCTGTAACAGCAGCTCCCCAACGCAGTGGTCTGTGTCATGGACTGAACTGAAGTCACCTGTGAATTCAGCAAGCACCGAGAGTAGAGCCCCATCTCTCTCCATACACACAACAATAAATATATACGTAACACATTTAAAAAACAAACAAATAAACAAACAGACAAACAAAAACACTCCTGGAGGAAAAACGTTTAGGAACATTTTGGTGATTGACCGTCAGAGGCTGTGACCTTCACCATGTAAATTCTGTGTCACTACAATAAGCTTTAAGAAATACACATCAGAGTTTTACACATTTATATTTCTCAAAATTACCAGATGTACATATATTTATATTTATAGATATATACTTATACTGTATACACATATTTTCTATTCTACTGACCCTGCGTTTGGAAAGTCTTTTTTTTTTCATAAACTTTATTCAAATCTTTAAGACAAGGTACAATACGATACAAATAGCTGTATCAACATGAAAGTACAGGGAGCACAGTGTTA